ACTGTGCTGCCAACCTGAATCCCCAGTACTTAGGGGTGCAGGGGGGCCCTCGGGTTACCTGTTCCCTGTGTGGTGCTGGGGCCGTACTCTTTGTTGGGATCCCTGGCACCCAGGAGCACAGGACACGCTGCCAGAGGCGTTGCCCCCCCTGCCCGGATTCCCAGCTTGGAGGGGCTGCAGGACATGATGCCGGTGGGATGCCCACCCCGATCCCCTGTGGAGCCCGCTGATCGCTGTGTGCCTCTCCCCCTGCAGCCGCGCTGAGCACAGACCCCACGGTGCTGGGCAAGTACCGCGCCGGCTTCAGCGAGTGCATGAACGAGGTGACGCGGTTCCTCTCCACCTGCGAGGGTGTGAACACTGAGGTGCGCACCCGGCTCCTGGGCCACCTCGCCAGCTGCATGACCCAGATCAACGCCATGAACTACCCTGCGCACCCCCCGCCGCCCCCGCTGCCACCACCCACAGCCTTTGGGCCACCTCTGGTGCCACCGGGCAGCGGTGCGGGGCCGCTCCCGGGCCTGCCCTGCAAACCAGGTGCCGATGCGGCCAAGGTGTACGGCGGTTTCCAGCTCCTGCCAGCCTCCGACGGGCAATCGCCACCTGGCACGGCCGACTCGGTCTGGAGACCCTGGTGAGGGTGGCGGGCACCGGACTGGACTGAGCACCACACCCCGTGCTGCTGGCACGGCTGTACATAGGTTATATGTTCATATTGGATTGTGCCTTTGTACCATAGCACTCCCTTGACAGTGTTTCGTGTTTTACACGAGATCTTTTTTTCTCCCTTCCCTCCCCTTCCTTATGTGACACCAAAGATTGGGGGTTTTTCCTTTTTGAATGCTCTGAAATAAAAGTGTCTCTTCCATTTTGGAAGGCCTTTGGAGATAAGACGGAGTGCTGGCATGTGTGCATAGCCGGGAGCCCAGCGCCTGGGGATGGTGCTGCTGGGGCTGTCTTGTCCTGCTCTCCAGGCTGGAGCTGTGCTCAGACCCTCTGTCCCCTCTCCCTGCCCCGGGGCAGATGTAATTACTGCTTCCTTGGGAGCAGCCCAGCTGATCAGACTTGTTAAAAAAAGCTTATGTTTGCAGAGCTGGTGAATGTGCTGAGGGAGGCACCTCTGCTCTCCTCCTGGCACTCTGGTTGACAGAGCGGCGTAGCCCAGGTAAAGCGAGACAGAGCCTGGCAGCCCGGCTGCCAATCTAGGCTGCCCGGGGGAGCCTCCTGCCCTGGACCCGGAGGGGCCAGGTCCCGGGCTGTGGTGTAAATTGATAACGACTTCGGTCGGTGGATTTGGAAAGAGAGGGGGGCGGGCCAGCTTCTCGTGTTACCAAGCCAGGGGCTCTCGGCAGGGCAAGCCTGACACGGGTGCTGGTGTCTGCTGGCTGACAGGCTGCAGCGGGCGCTGGGCACCACTTCCACCTGGACTTAAAAGCACAGAGCTGTTCCTGGACCTGAGCACCAGCCAGGCTCTGCTTGATGATTAATGCTCTGCATGTGTTTTTGATAGAGCTGGGCATTTCCTCTGCTGTTATATGGAAAACATGTGTCTGGGGGAGCGATATGGGGCTGTGTGGACTATCTTGCTCTCTAACTATGAGCAGCAACCGACTGCTTTGACTTGGGGATGCCCCATTTCCAGGCAAGATGCAAGCCCTAGATAGAGGTGAGTGGCAGTCTCGGGTTACAGCTTGCATCACCCTTCTTAACAAGTCCCAACTTGGAGCAGACAGCTTTGAAACATGCCAGGATCCACTGGGGATTCCTTCCAAATTCTGCTGCAAAAGCTTGTTGGATTTCGTCTGGATCAGCCAGGTGCCTTGACTGTATCCAGGTGCTGGGGAAAGGAAAGCTGGGGAGAGTGTGAGACTGGACAGACTAAACCTGCTGGGGTTTGAATCCCTCCCTGACTTGCCCTGCTTTCTCCCTGTGTACAAACGCATCCTCCTGATCTGAAAATACTTCTTTGGAGGGATTTTGGAGAGGGAAGTGGAGGGGGGGGTGGGGTCTGGGATCCCTCTCTGCAGGGCATACTCATGAGGTTGGGGCCAGAGGCAGCTTCCTGCTAAAAGGGGCTGCAGGGGCTGATCTCCCTTGGGTGATACAGAAAAGCTTCCCTTTCTCTGTCTCCTGACACCTTGCTGGCCTGCCTGCATTGCCACCCTCATGGTGGCATCTCACTGCCAGGTTTTGTGTGCTAGGCTTGGGAATATTGGATTTGTTGCCCCTAGCAGGCGTGCTGCCGTACAGGCTCAGCCTGCCTTCCCTGCCACCAGCCATAGTGTCACCTTTCTGCGCTGGAGGTACCAGGGCCAGGACCGAGCCTGTGTGGAGCTGATGCAGACCAGTAATACATCACCTGTAAGAGCTGAGGCTGTTCCAGCTTAATGGAGTCCTGCTTTTCTGCTGAAGCAGTTGGTTCGGAAAGCGCATTTAAAAAAAAAACAAACCCACCAGACTTTGCTGTAGGCTAATGGAGAACATATAGCAGATCCGGGAGTGAAAGACAAGATGAACCTATTTGCTAATGGGGTTTAAATAGCCTAGTATAAAGCAGATACAGCATGCTTGGACCAGTTTTTGCAAAGCTTTCTGTGTTTGCTCTCTCCCACAGCCTGTTGACATGAGAGATCTGCTTGAGTCTGTGAGCTTTGAGGGGATCAGAGCGATTCCCAGGAGCCGTGCCCTTGATGCCAATTCTCTGAGCCTGTGACAGATTGGGATGACGCATGCGGGCTGTGGGTCTGCGGACCAGTGTGTGCAGGAGGTGCCCTTCAGGTGCAGCCAGTGCCTTCGGGCTGGTGCCGTGGGGTGAGCGGGCAGGGGACAGGGCAGGGACGGGGCTGGGCTGCTGGGAGGTGGCCTGGCGTTTGGCTGCGCAGGGCGGGGGGGAGCAGGGACCGGGCTTGGTGCTGCGGCGGGATGCAGCTCCGCTTGGCTTTCGTGGGGGGCCCTGCCCGCCGGCTGGGGGGGCCC